GAGTGTGTGTTGTGTCTGTGGTGTGTGTGTGCTAGTTGTGTGTGGTATAGTGTGTCTGTGGTGTGTGTGTGCTAGTTGTGTGTGGTACAGTGTGTCTGTGGAGTGTGTGTTGTGTCTGTGGTGTGTGTGCTGGTTGTGTGTGGTATAGTGTGTTTGTGGTGTGTGTGTTGTATCTGTGTGTATGTGGTGTGGGCATGAGCAACCATTAACACAGCCCACAGGCCAGAAGCAGTCAGGGCTCCTCCCAGGAAGGCCAGACAGGTACAGGAGCTGAAATATCTGTGCAATTTCCCACAACAACAAAACGGTGAACAGGAATCAAGTGATTATCTCGGGGGATAAGGAACAAGAAGTGGAGGTGTCAACATCCCACAGCACTCTGGGAGCAGCAGGAAACCTCCATAGCCCAACAAAGGCATCCACACAAACACCCTTGGCTCTTCTCGTCCCTAAAGGATAAACCCCAGCACTCATCCCTGCTGTCCAGGACGTGGCGAGGATGCCCTCCTGCCAGCCAGGGTCCCTGCATGGGTGGTGACAGCCCTGTGTGGGCCTCTGTGATGCCTCTGTCTGTCCTGAGCTCTGCCTGTGCACACTGGGGCTCTGCGTGACCGGCATCTGCACAACTGTGGCTGCTGGAGAGGAGGGGAGCCCTGGGCGTCCTCCCTCCATGGGGACAGCACAAAGCCCTTAGCAAGACCACCAGACCCTCCAGCAGTTGGACTCTGGCCTCCCGGTTCCTCACTGCAGGGCTCCCTGGCAGTGGGCTGTGGGGACAGACACATGGTCCATGTCTGAGTGCTGCTCCCCATGGGCACATGGCCAGGAGCAAATTGTGCAATGCCAGCCAGCTCCAGAGGTGCCTCCCATGCTCAGAAAGGATGCTGCCAGGCCTGTCATGAGCCCCAAGGCACTGAGCTGTGCGGGACTGGCACAGGACTGGGAGCTGGTAGGTCCCAGGAACAGGAGCTGCACTGACACTTCCATGATAGGTCCTGGGCTCTGGTCCCCACCCCGCCTCTCCCCCATGCAGTGCTGAGGGTGGGGGTGGAGGAGAGAGCCCCCCTTCCCCTCAGGGAATCTTTCTGCTGCTGCTGATGTAAAGCCACCCAGCCATGCAGCCAGCATGACAGCTGTGCTCCTCTGATGATGTCCCCGGACATGCACAGGCTGTGGCGTCTGAGTAGCCCTGTCAACTCCAGGTGAGGATGTGAGTTGGCACTCCTCCCTGGAGGCAGCTGAGTTGGGGTGACAGGTGCCCTCTGCCCACCAGGCCCTCTGCCTCTGCTGACGTAATCTGCCAGTCACAGCCCCGACATGTGAGCTGTTCACTGACTTGGGCAAAGCTGCCCCACACAGAGGGTGACAGTCATGGGAGGGAAAGGCCAAGGCAGGAGCCTGGAACCCCAATGCAACTCGATGAGCCTTCTCAGCAGGCTGCCACTGAGAAGCAAGAGGGATCCGGGAGCCCAGGAAGGAGGTCAGGGAGGGAAGCACACAGCCCAGACTCCCCCATTCAGCCCTGGGCCTCATATCCAGCCTGGCAGGGGCCTCTGCTGGGCTCAGGACCAGCCTGGGGCTGTGAGGCCCTCCAGGGGCCACTCCTGCTCTGGGCCCTGTGCAGAGGTGAGACCAGGTAGAGCGTAGGTATTCGGCAAGCCCTGCCTCAGCTGGAAGGGCCGAGCCCACTTGTCCTTTGCAGCCCTGCTCGAAGGGCACATCGTCCTGGGAGCCCTTCCTGTTGATCAGCTCCTCTGACTCCCTGCAGCCCAAGGGCTTGGTCTGTCCCTCTTATTAGCCACGTGTCACCCAGGATGTCCCATGACCTCTGGTGTCTGTGTCCAAGCATAATTTTCTTCTCTAGTTCTTTGTTTTTCTTGTAACCTTTATGATTAAAATTTTCAAACTTTACAACCAAGTAGAAAGAATTGTGCAATGAACACTCCTATATCCATCGTGGGGATTTTAAATTAATGCTTGACCATTCTTGATTTATCCTGTTTCTATGTTTCTTCCTCTCTCTGTCTCTCTTTCTCTCCACCAGTTCATCTTATTTTTGAATGTATTCAAAGTAGTTTACAGTCATCAGGGTACTTTACCCCTAAACCCTTCAGTTGTGTATCTTTAACTAAGGACCAGTATTTAAGTTCTCTTTTTGCAGTGCATAAATCTTAAGTGTGTCATCTGATGAGTTTTGACAAGAGCACACCACATATGTAACTGCAGACCCAGTGAAGATGCAGAATGTTAGCATAGCCCCCAGAAAATCCCCTCAGACCTGCCCCAGGCGGTCCTGACCCACTGCCCTGGAGGCAGCTACTGCTCTGCTTTTTCCATCCATAGGAGAGTTTGCCTCTAAAACATCCACGGATGGATCACAGGGTAGGAATTCTGGGTCTGGCTTTCTGCATTTGGCACTCTGGCTCCAAGATTTGTCCATGCCACGTGTATTTGCTACCTGTTCCAAGAGGCAGGCTGCAGGTGACATGCTGACGTTCTTTTTCCTGGACGTGACTGTCCCTGAATCGGTGTCTGCAAAGCATCCTGGTGGACTGGGCACATGCAGGGGAGGCACAGAGTAGGACACGGAGCAAGGATGCCTTTCCTCTCAGATCAGGTGTCCAGGGGATGCTGCTCCAGGCACCTGGATCGTGGCCAGGAGACCCTTTCCGTGGAGTGGGTTGGGGCAGACTGTGTGAGGCAGGGCCACCGTGCATGCAGGGACACCCCTGGGTAGCCAGCCCAAGTAGCCACTGTCCCTCCACTATACTAAGGGTCCACCTTGGTCTTATCTTTGTCTCTTCCCAGAGATCCATAAACAGCTGATACTTTATATGAAGATATCTGTCTACATATTGTTTAAAAATATATTTTTATACAAACATAATTATGCAGTATATTCAACCTCCTGCATAGTACAGGTTGAGCATTCTAAATTTGAAATTCCAAAATCTGAAAAGCTCTGAGATGTAAAACTTTTTGAGCACACACCTGATGATCACAGGAAATTCTTATTACAGCGATTCAGGGGTTGGATTTTCACGTTTGAGATACTCAACCATTCAGTAAATACAAACATTTCAAAATTTTAAAAAAAGATCTGCAATCTTAAACACTTCTCATTCCAAGCATCCTGCACAAAGAATACTCAGTCTGTATTGCATTATATGGATGGGCCAAGTTTCGTCAGTCTCCCTTGGTGGACACGCACAGTATGCCTGATGCATCACTTCTACTAGCCGCGCTGCTGTGGACACTCAGCGGTTACCTTTCTGTACATGTGGCTCAGTAGTTTCCTGGGATTGAGGCAAGAGGTGGAATTGCTGCATTAAGGGCACACATCTGTGAAATGTTGTTCAGTAGTGTTGCTTATCTCTCCCAGATGGGGACTGGGACTCCCGAATACCAAGCAGTGTGCAGAAGTCCCAGTCCCCCATCTCTCCCCAGCATAGGTGACTTCTATCCATGTCCTTCTATCCATGTTGCCCTTCTCCTGGTTAGTTGTCAGCCCTACATCACTGCTCAGGACTGCAAGGACTTGACCCCTGTGGCCCGAGGGAGCACTGTGGGATGTCCGGGTGGAAAGCTCTGGTTGACCTGGCCCTGTGCAGAGGCCGAGGCAGGGTGCCTTTCCTGGGTTCCTGGGATTAGAAAGGGTGTGGGAGTCCTCCTGTGTGCTCAAGGCCCAACCGCCTCCTTGTGGACCCTCAGTGACACCAGGTGAGGATTTGGTCCAGTGGACACACTGCTGTTCATTGAGACACAGCTACTTCCTTGTAGGGGAGTCCCCTGGGAATTCAGTGTTGGGAATGGACCACCAGAAACAGGGAGGTCAGAGTGGAACAGCCCTCCACTCAGACTTTGGAGTGTTGTCTTTGCAGAATCCAAGCAAGTAATTAGTCATGGATATGGCTTTAATAATGCAAAGAGCCAGGACCAAGTTATCTGCAGATTCAAGTTCAGCAAAACCAAAGTCATTGATAAGGAGCTTTCTCTGAAATCTGAAATGATCAGATGAACTTTTCCTCTGAACATCATGAGAATTTCAGATTTTGGAGCACTTGTGATTTTGTGTGTTTTTATTTTTATTATTTTTTATTATTTTATTTTACTTTAGGTGTACACTATATTCGGCATTTCTCCCCATGTTATCCCTCCCCACCCTCCCCACCCCCGGCTGTCCCTCCCCTAATCCTCCCTACACACTGCCCTCAGTGTGTGATGCTCCCATCCCTGAGTCCAGGTGTTCTCATTGCTCAACCCACCTATGAGTGAGAACGTGCGGCGTTTGGTTTTCTGTTCTTGTGTCAGTTTGCTGAGAATAATGGCTTCCAGATTCTTAGATTAGGGATACTCAACCTCAGTAAGCAAGATCACCTGTGTAGAGCAGCTGGTGCATGGAAGGGCTTTATAATAGTTTACATTCTCCTACTCCTTGGCAACACTCAGGCATCAGGGGACCTCTGCAGAGGGGGAGTGGACTGAGGAAGCACACAGCCCAGGCAGACGCTGTGCCCTGGGTACTGAGGGGATGTGTTTTTTCCTGCTGAGCACCTGGGATGCAATTGGATTTTCTGCATTCCCCTCAATTCTCCCTCTTGACCCCTTGATACAGTCATTCCATCTGATCATGATATATCCAATGGCCTCTTATTCAGGGCCATGTGGTAAACTTGGAATGACTCCTCTCCCTGCAGGATGCTTCTCGGCCATCTCTCCTCCTGTCCCTGAGTACATAATACGGGGCAGAGGCTGTCACTGACACATTCTCATGTAGCAGAGTTGTGTAGATGGTCTCAGGGCATTGACATTCCACTGACCTATACTTTCATGGGAGTGGCTTAGGGACAGAGCAGCCCCTTCCTAAGGAGAGCTACTGTGTACTGAGCGCTTCTTATATCATATACTGGGCCAAGTGCCTTATGCTCACTATGTCCACGAAGTCTCAAAGCAGTCCTACTGCACCTCCTTTGCACGGATGGATAGCCAGGGCAGGGGTGATGGAAGAGCTTTTCCAGGGCCACAAAGCCGGAGACCTGTCTGTCTACCCAAGGGGGACCTTCTGTCTCCCTGAGATGATGGTTCTTGGGGAAGGCATGTCCCTGCCTACCTGCAGGAAGTGTACTCAGATGCCTCCTCTGTCTGCCTGTGGGTACACTGGTTTCCTGGAGGAGACTGGTCTTTCCTCCAAGGTGGGTCAGCACCAGGTCTCACATGGGAAAGCCCATGCTGCAGTCCTGGGTGCCTCTGCAGACGGCCACCCTGCTCCCGGTCAGTGCCTATGCAGGAGTGGCCAGGCATGCCTGTGTATTGCAGGGAGCTCAGATGCACTGAGGAGTGACTTTGTCATTAATTACATTTTCTGCTGATGAAAACATTTGAGGAACATTTTAGAAATAGGGAAGCAAGAAGACATATTCAAAACTTGTTGTATCTATATGCTTCATGTTTTCTGTCTTTATAGGCTATACTTTGGTAATTTAAGAAGTTTTTTAATATGGTAACTGAAGTATGGGTTTAATCGCTTAATCTCAGTTTGAAAACTTTTCCCAGCAGCCCAGTGTTGCTGGGCCCTCTGCCCATCTTGACCTTGAGCCATGGCCTCAGGGGGCCAGTCCCACCCGCCCTCCTCAGGAGCTCCCTGTGCTGTCCTGAATGCCATACATCAGTCAGGTCACACCACTTTGGGGACTTTTACCCCAGTAATCCCAACCTTTCCAGCTTTCAAAGTAAATCTGTTTCCCTAACCATGTTTTCCTGATTGTTATCTTTATCAGCACCAAAGAAAAGGTCAACAGTTTAGAAGTTCATGGCTAATCTGACAACTGGGTTCAGGCCAGCAAATCTTACCATGTGGAAATGAGTCATTTTGTGCATAATAACCCTGACCTACATGAAAAAGAGAAAAACAATAGAAATTATTTTTACATATACGTGAAATTTTAATTTATAAAATTATGATATTATATTTGGTTATACATTTGTACAATTATTTTTAAAGTGTTAACTATATTTTATTATAAAAATGATACAATGTAGAAAAAAGACGTAGACAAAACATAATACATAATAAATTAATACATAATAAATTAAATCATTACCCCAAAATCCCAAATCAAAGACAAGTGCTGTTAACATTTTCAACTACAGCACAATAAATTTAACTTTGCTTAAATATGATGGAAGAAAAAGAAAATAAAATGAGATTGAAGAAACTGTGGAGCGTCACGCGAATGCTCCTGGTGGCCTGTGATGAAGTGGCATCACGCAAATGCTCCTTGTCGCCTGTGACGAAGCGGCTGTTCCTTCCCCTCCGTGCCTCTCCTTCCCTCTGCTCATGGACGTCACAGCACGCTGCACTCTGCCATCTCTGTTGCATATTTTTAATTTTGTCTTCTGTCTCCCACGCAGTCCCTAAAGGTGAGTCTTTTGAGAGCAGGGACTCTGCCTGCCTGCTCCTGTTACATAGCGGAGTGATGCACAGGGCCTGGGTGTGGCGGGTGCTTACGGGGGTCTCTGCAATAGGAAAGCAGAGCCCAGGTGCCAGTCATGGGCCACAGGGTCAGCTCTGTGTAATGAGGACCGGAGGTGGGAGGGACAGTGGATGAACATGTACATCGACATTCTTCCCATGTCACTTCCTTTTAGGAAAAAAAAAAAATCAGTATGGACAAGACTTTCATGACTTTCCTGGACCAAAGATAGAAAAATCTGGACAGTAAGTATCCTTGGTAGAAGACCCTAGAGGGCAGGAGGCCAGAGGTCAGTGTTGGGCACCGTGAGGTGTACAGAATGCGGATGCCCCCCCTGCTGGAGCAGCATGTGTCTGTGGCTGGGCTAAGGGCACATCACTTACCTCCCTTGTTGGTGGCCCCAAGGTGTTGAGGGATCTGCAATGTTCTAGGGTCTGTGAGGAGGGCAGGATGCAGGAGATGACTGCCCAAAGAACGGTACCTTCACTCCAGGTCACCTTTCAGAGTTAAGCCAATGGACTCTGTAAATACAGAAGAGCCAGAATGGTGACAACAAGCAGCCATCTGTGGTCACTTAAGACACAGTTACAATGACATGAAACCTCATGCAGGGCCCCTCACTGCTGGACCCACATCCCCCTTGGCCATCATTGCTGAGGTTGACCTCACAGGGCTTTGGGGAGTGACCTTTCATACTGTCCACTCACCAAGGGCAAGAACTGCATCTCCCGGACTGGCTCTCGCCATCTTTGCTTTCTGTGCTTTAGGGAGGTCTTTGCTGAAGCCAGCCTGGACAATGGCAGGAGCATCTTTTCTAATGACATCACCATGAAGAGCACCACCTGTGTGAGTACCAGGGTGGGGATGCCACCAACCTGAGCTGTCCAGAGCCCCTGCCCTGGAAGGAGATACACCCTGGGAGAATGAAAAGGGCACACAGTTCCCAGGGAGTCCTAGAAAGTAGCATGTGCAGCAGGCATCTGGGGCTGCTCGATCCCGTTCCAGCTGGCACACGTGGGTGAGTCTGGGAGGCTATCTGCCAGGAGCCAGAGTCCAGGACCTCTAGGGTGTCCAGCTTCTCCACACGGGCCTCCCAGGTCCAGGGGATCTGGAGAATTCCACACGCTACCTTCAGGGTGAATGTGCCGCTGAACCGGTGCCCCAGCTGCTGATCTGGTCCTAAATCCACTCACGACCCCGGTCCCCAAGCCTGCCTGGTGGTCATTTGCTGTCATTTCCCAGATGCCATCAGCCTCTTTTCTTCCTGTCCTCCTTGCTCAGGCCCCTGAGCTGCCCCTCTCTGCTCCCTCGCTGATCCCTGAAGTAAGTCCCCTCTTGCTGCTGATGGGGAGGCTGTCAGGCATGCAGGCCGGGTCAGGCTCATCATAGCCTCTCTTCCCTCCCCTCCCCCACCCCACACTTCTCTCTAAGCGGAGTTCTGGATCTGGGGAAGGCCTGGGCAGCCTGCATTCCCATAGATGCTGCTCAAGATCCCTTTATTGTGAGGAACACCCAGAGAAGTGTTCCCGTTGCTTACACCCTACATGGCCCTGGTTCTGAGCCAGGACTTCCTCTGAGCTCTCTAAACCTCACAAGTGCCCCCAGGGAGGGAGGTTCATTCCCCTTGCACAGATGTGGAGGCTGAGGCTCAGACCCGTGCGTGGATGCATCCATGGTGCAGAGCCTGGAAGTGGGGAGAGAGGCTGTGGGGGATGGACCCGGGTCTCCTGCCCCCGCTCCTGCGCCTGCACCTCTCGGCCGCAGCACCCCCACCCTTGCCTATCTTTATACCTGTAGATTTTGTGATCCTCACAGAAGCCCTGTGCTGCAGGCAAGGTGTGCCGTGAGGGTGGATTCTTCAGACCATGGAAGCTTCAGACTTTCTTTGTAGGGCTCTAGGGCAGAGCCCTTGAGCAGGACCAAAGGAGGGATCTGTAGCTCTCTGGGTCCCAGCCCTGGCCACTGGCCCCACTGTGGTAGCTGGAGGAGGGACCAGCTAGAGAGAACGAGGAGTAGGCAGATAGGATGCCAAATGGTGGGCACCGGGAAGAGGCTACCCAGGCCCTTCAAGACCATTGTCCAGCAGGCGTAGTGCACGTTACTACCTCTCTCCTACAGGGTGCCAGTCCACCACAGACCACGCATCCGTCACACGCCACCCATCCATCAAAGAACATGCATCCGCCACAGACTACCTGTTCACCACAGGACACTCATTCATCAGAGACCACCCATTTACTACAGAGCACCCATCCACCACAGAGCACCCATACACCACAGGTCACCCAGTCACCACAGAGCACCCATCCACCATAGAACATCCATCCATCACAGAACATCCATTCATCACAGGCCACCCATCCATCACAGAACATGTATCCACTACAGACTACCTGTTCACCACAGGACATGCATTCATCACAGACCACCCATTCCCCACAGGCCACGCATTCACCACAGGGCCCCCATCCATCACAGGCCACACATTCACCACAGGGCCCCCATCCATCACAGGCCACCCATTCACCACAGGGCCCCCATCCATCACAGGCCACCCATTCACCACAGAGCCCCCATCCATCACAGGCCACCCATTCACCACAGAGCCCCCATCCATCACAGGCCACCCATTCATCACAGGCCATGCATTCACCATAGAGCACCCATTCATCACAGGCCACCCATACCCCACAGAGTCCCCATCCATCACAGGCCACTCATTCACAACAGGCCATCCATTCCCCACAGAGCCCCCATCCATCACAGGCCACCCATTCCCCACAGAGCCCCCATCTATCACAGGCCACTCATTCACCACAGGGCCCCCATCCATCACTGGCCACCCATTCACCACAGGGCACCCATCCATCACAGGCCACCCATTCTCCACAGAGCCCCCATCCATCACTGGCCACCCATTCATCACAGGCCACTCATCTACCACAGAGCACCCATCCATCACAGGCCACCCATTCTCCACAGAGCACCCATCCATCACTGGCCACCCATTCACCACAGAGCACCCATCCATCACAGGCCATCCATTCATCACAGGCCACTCATCCACCACAGAGCACCCATTCATAACAGTCCTCCCATTCACCACAGAATACCCATCCATCACAGAGCACTCATCCACCGCAAACCAGCCATCCATCACATACCACCCATCCACTACAGAGCACCCATCCATCATAGACCACTCATCCTCAGACCACCCATCCGCCACAAACCACCCATCCATCACACACCACCCGTCCACCACAGACCACCCATCCACCGCAAAGTATCCGTTAATCACACTCCACCCATCCATCACAGAGAACCCATCCATCACAGACCATTTGTCCATCACAGACCACTTGTTCATCACAGAGCACCCGTCTGCCGCAGAGCACTGGTCCATCATAGGACACTGGTTCATCACAGAAGGCAAGTCAACCACAGAGCTGGACGAGCAACCCACTAATCATCCAGCTCCTGCCGGCCCTGCTCCTGACCCTGCTGCTGCCTTGTGGTTTCTGGCAATTGTGTGGCAGGAGAATAAATGCTCCCTGCCCGCCCAGCCCTGGGGCCCAGACACAGGCCCATCCTCCAAGAGACTTCAACATGTGACTGCCATATGACCCCGCCTGTGGGAAGTTTCCCATCAGCTCCCAGGTCATCACATGAGCCAAGGGAAGTGCAGACACTGTCCACACATTCCCAGAGCCTAGCAAGCCTGGACTTCCACAGGGCCTCCTGTCCTGGGCTGGCCACAGACAGCTGGCCCGGGATGCCCTAGACATGGAGCTGAGGGCTGCCTTGGATCCTAGGGAGAAGTGACCCCAGAATCCCTGAAAACAGGGCTGCTTCAACAAGCTGGACTTCTGAAAGCCTCAGATGGACAAGGGTCAGGAGGTGGCCTCTGTGTGGAGGAAAAGAAGGTCCCCCACCAGGTTCTGATGGCCCAAATGGAGGATACTGTAACTCCCCAGCTGTCTGTGCCTTGAGAAACAAGTGTGGCTCTTGGCACATGTCTGGTGCCTTCCCCATTCTTCCATCTGCCTTTACTGAGCTCCAGCTTCCCCTGGGCCCCATGCTGAGCTGAAGAGAGACAAAAATAAAGTAGCCACCATTCCCCACAGGGAGCTCACAGTCCTGTCCAGTCAGGGCTGAGGGTGAAATATCCACCCCACAGGATTGAGAAGGGCCCCTGTAAAGCAGAGATGGAGCCCAGGGTGGGGAGGGTGACAGAGGCCCTGGGAGCTGGGGTGGTTGGATGCAGCCCAGAGAGCTGCAGACAGAGGACAGAGCAGGGGCAGGAGAGGACAGAGCTCAGCCCAGGGAACACGCAGGGCTCATCTCTGCCCAGAGAGCCATGAGGGGAAGAATCTGGGGACTCAGCCATGAGGCTGGGAGGTCAGGGAGGGCTCCCAGGGACAGATAGGCTCTCCCTGAGGAAGGGAAGTGGGGCAGCACTCTCGTCTTTATGTGGCTGTGGGCAGCAGAGGACTGTTGCAGGAGCTGGGCCTCTCTAGGGACGTGGTCCCTGGCCTGGATGACCTCTAGGGTCCCCACGAGGTGAGTGCAGGGGTTCTCCTTGAGTAAGGTTGGAGGCTGAGGCCTGCCCGGTACAGCACCACAGGCTCAGGGTGCCCAGAGTGACACACCAAGACCACGCTCTGTCTTGCTGCTCCAGACCAGGGTCCCAGCTGTGCACAGGGCCAAGGCAGACCCCATCCACCCCCATCCAGCCCACATTTGTCTCTTTTGAACCTTCTAGACTGTCAAGGAGTCACTACCTGTGCAGAAGCCAGAAAAGGTAAGTCATGGTTCTGGTCCCGATATTGTCACATCCCAAGGAGTCCACTGACCTTCACCGAGAGTGCCACGAAGCCTGTGCCCCATGACCTCCTGCCTGAGCAGAGAAGAAGGTGACAGAGGGACAGGTGGAGCCTGAGAAGGGTGGGGACTCACAGTGATGTTCCCAGCTTGCCCCCTCTCACTCCCTGCACCCCTCAACATGAGCCTGTCACCAATTTACAGCCTGAGGTGGCCAGTTTCAGCAACTGTGATGATCTCTCCTGAATAAATGGGGCTCTTCTGTCAATATCCCACAGAGTGTTTATAAGATGCTAAGGACGGAGGCACTCTGGACACCATGCCCTTGCTCCCAGGGTCTGCCCAGAAAAGAAGCAGACAATTGTTTTTCTTTTTTAGGAGCCAGAATATGCGAAACCACCTGGTCCTCCTTCATCACCACTGCCTCCGCCCCTGCCTCCTGTGAACACCTGCCCTACTGTGATTGTTTGTTGCTGTGGGTGCCAAGGAGTGTGCAGAATAAGAGGGATTGAAGTGAGAAGCACAATGGAGAGGCGCTGTGACCCCCAGGCTGGGACTGTGGGAGAAGGTGGCAGCCCAGTCCCGCTGCAGAGGCCTGGGCCTTGGTGGAAGGTTGGCTCTATGGGTGCTGGCCTTTGGTTACTTGATGCCAGGGGCAATCAGAGGCCCACATCACCCTGGTGCCCTAGTGGAGGGCAAGTATGAGGGCTCCTGTCCCTTGCACCACCAGGCCTGTCTCAGCACAAGGAGCTTCCTCTTTGAAGGATCCAGGTTTCTGGACATAGCAACTAGTGACATCTGACCAGTCCTGGCCCTCCCGGAGGTTATAATCAGCTCTGGCAATGACTTAGGTTTCAAACCAGTGGCCTGCAGGTTTATGAGTCAAACAAACTGAGTCACAAAGAGGCTCCCGCAGGTCAGAAAAATATCAACCTGAAATAATCAAAAGGTCAGAATGTAGATTAAAGAGAATTTATTCACTTGAAAAGATTGAGGATGGACCAACCTGGAAGCACAGATTCCAAAACACAAAAGTCAGTGTTACAAAGTGGAGAAGTTAGGGACCATTTATACAAAGTTCAGGAAAGTTAAACCGCATTTTAACATCTGACTATGGGAGGCTTAATGCATAGTCACCATGATCTGATTAGTGGAGATAGTCTTTCTGTTTGGCAAAGGTATATTTAACATTCCACACTCAAGATGTAACTATCATGAGATCTTGAGCACCCAATGTTCTCAGTTAGGATCAGGACAACAAAGAAGGCAAGTATCTATGACAAGGATCAATGAGGGAAAGGAGGTGTTTTGGTCTCTGGTCTCTCCCAGTCATTTACAAAACCAGAACAATGAGAAAGAGAGTTAAGCTACAATCTACGAAGTAGAATTGCAAACATGATATGTGACTGAGTCTTCAGGGCTGAACTTCCTGCTTGGCATAATAAATTTAGAAGGTCTTGATATTTTACTTCTTTTACATTTCTTCTTCCTTTTCTTCAAATTCTTTCAGAGGAAACATGGCAGAAGAATCATGTATTTAAGTCAAAATCTCACCCTGCTAAGATTTGTTCCTGGGAAGTCATGTCCAACAGGGGAAGAATTAGAAAGAACTAACGCCAACGTATAAAGTAAACAAGGGAGAAGTAGTCCTGAAACCCGGTTCAGCCACATGACTGCCTCTTCATTCACAGCAGTTCTTTGAGCAACCTTTATTTTAGCGTTTTTGGTTGTGCATTGACTCAACTGCAAACACGTGCCATAATAACAGTGTAGACAGAAACAGGGCAAAACAACAAATATTATAATTCCCAGAATTAGTAACGATTTTCTGCACCAAGTTCCCCAAAATACAAACCAGCTTGTTAAATAATCAGAGAGTATTGAATCTGAAAGGTTAGTTATTTGAATTTGTATATCTGTGATTAATTTCGTGATGTTGTTCGATTCATCTGGGGTATAGACACAAAACGGAGTTTTTCTGACAGTACACGTTCCTCCTCAGGCTGTACTGAGTGTGTCTAAAGCCATGCTCTTCGGTAATGTGGCAGTTCTCCTAAAAGCAACTTAATTGTTTAGTAAAGACCTACTCATGGAGCTATTACTTAGGGCATTTTGTGTACAATTGGTCAGGATCTCTTCATGACAAATGATATTCTCAGTACCTGATTTATGGTACAAAGATGAAAGCTAAGTGATGATATCTATGAAACACAGAAAGAACACAATGAGAGTGTAAATGAGGAAAATTTGCAGATTTTGACAGGGTATGAACTACTTAACCTTGTGCCCAAGCATAACCCAAGGAACATGGTCTTAACCATCCTGGGGGTAACCATGGCCACAGGTTAGTACTACATAGCCAAGACATTCCATTTGGAGCTAACCAGTAAATATTTGCTCATTGGGCCTGTTCACCATCATGCCAGTCAGTACTTTGTAATGTAACAGTGTGGATATGTCATTCTTTGGATATCCATCCCATGTCACCAGCGCTATTGAGTAAGGCATCTTTGGTATAATTTATCTGTTCACAAAACAAAGGGGCAAGCTGACGGAGATGACCACAGCAGAGGGCAAGCCAGATAAAACAGTCCCAAATTTGTTTTAGACTATCCTGAAGTCGAGTTGTCTTACCTCTCAAATGAGGCACTGTTGTTTCATCCCTCTGCTCATGGTTCTGCAGGCTGTACAAGATGCATGGTGCCATCAGTGTTAAAGATAATGTATTAGTGCATTTTTACACTACTATAAATACTTGAAACTGGGTCATTTATAAAGAAAAGAGGTTTAATTGGCTCATGGCTCTGCAGGCTGTACAGGAAGCATGGTTGAGGAGGCCTCCAGAAACTTGCAATCATGGTGGAAGGCGAAGGGGAAGCAGGGATGTCTTACATGGCCAGAGTAAAGGAACAGAGAGAACGGGGAGGTGCCACACACATATGGACAATCAGATCTCATGAGAACTCACTCACTATCATGAGAACAGCAAGGGGAAAATCCACCCCCGTTATCCAATCACTTCCCACCAAGCTCCTCCTCCAACACTGGGAATTGCAATTCAATATGAGACTTGGGCAGGGACACAAATCCAAACCATATCAGTTAGCAAACTAGTTTCTTTTACTGAGAAGCTCTTCCCAAGCCCTTTACTCTGTAAAGTATTATTAATAGTCCAATGACATACTGTACCCTTAGTGATACTAGTGTCAAGCATCAATGACTGTTCAGAGAAACATGAATGCATTTCTGATATTGTACCCAAACTTGTCCTTGGAGAGGAGATACTCATCATGGACTACCAGCACTACTGAAAGGGGGGTGAGACTCATATCAGCCCATTTTTGCATTTATGGAGAAATATGTGAGACTGGGTAATTTATAGCAAAAAGAGATTTATTGGCTCATGGTTCTGCAGGCTGTACAAGATGCATGGTGCCAGCATTTGCTCAGCCTCTGGCGAGGGCTCAGGGATCTTTCAATCATGGCAGAACAGGAAGGAAGAGCTGGTATATCACATGGCATGAGTGGGAGGTACCACAGTCTTTCAAACAATGAGATCTTCCATGAACTCAGACCAAGAATTCAATACTGTGAGGAGAAGCTAAGCCATTCATGCAGGACCCACCCCCATGACAGAAACTCCTCCCACCAAGCCCACCTCCAATATTGGGGATCACATTTCAACATGAGATTTGGAGGTGACAAAATATCACTGCACATAAATAAAAATTATTCAATAATTAATAATTAATAAATTAATTTAATAATTTTATTTATGTGTTGTGATATTTTGTCACCTCCA